GGCTGAGGTTAGATCTTAGGATGGTCCATCTTGCAAGGCTGGTGGTTTCCAAGCTGAGCTAACCTCCCAAGTTGCTGGCTCATATTCCCCTTCCCTATGATTTCAGTAGATGTAGGTCGCATTTACCCTTAAGCTCATCCTTGAAAACAAGGTGGGTTTGATCTGCTTTAAAAAAAAAAGTGTTTGGCATTAGTGTTGTTTCTGGGGAGACGGGAATGAAGGAAATTTCTGCTTATTGAGCAAAATATGCCATGACTCCTGCCAGTGCCTGAAAAGGTGACCATAAAAATGACCATGCTGAAGGGGATGCAATTGGCTGGCAGTGTGGAAAGGAAGGGGGTCCATAGTCAAAGCCCTACAAAGGTTTTTGGAGGGAATGGCCTAAAGAGCTGCCTACTAATGCCAGAGGCACAACAGGACTTCACATGTGTGCCATGTTTTATCCAAGCACTGAGGAGGATCTCCAAGAACACAGGTCGCCCTCACTCCTGTTTTTAAGGAAACCTAAGAAAGATGTAAGGACAATGGCCAATCTGGGCCAGGGCTTTTAGCCCTGCTCCCTGTCTCCTACCCGCCCAGGAACAGATGCTTAGGGAAGAGTGTAAGAACAGAACAAATATAGAATAAATAAATATATATATATACACACCCCTCTGTGTATCTATCATCTAGTGGTTATGTAACTAAAGGGGCTCCAGGAGAGCTGGGGAAGGACTTTTTACTGGGGCATGTAGTGACAGAACGAGGGGGAATGGCTATAAACTGGAAGAGGGCAGGTTTAGATGAAACATTAGGAACAAATTTTTCACTTTGAGGGTGGTGAGGCACTGCACCAGTTTGTCCAGAGAGGTTGTTGAGGCCCCATCCCTGGAGGTGTTCAAGGCCAGGCTGGATATGGCCTTGGGCAACCTGGTCTGGTGGGAGGGGTCCCTGTCTATGGCAGGGAGGGTGGAACTGGATGATCTTTAAGGTCCTTTTCAACCTAAACCATTCTATGATTCTATGTAGCAGTGCTGCAAAACCTCTCCCAACGTTCAGCAGCTTGTGGTTCAGCGACGTGAAACACGCAGCAGACAGATAAACAGCTGGTGTTTAACCACACCGCCTTCCTCAAAGAGCGAACACCGGCCAATCCATTCCCCTTCCTCCCCTTGTCCTACTGGCTCTCTTGAAACACCGGATGGAAAATAAGCGAAGCAGAGCTGCCTGGTCTGGGGTGGGAAGCCACAGATCTCTCAGCTTATCTCTTCAGAGGCAGGGAGACTTTCTGAAGATCCAGGGTGCAATTGGGGTGGGGCATACCCATGTACTTCTCCTGGGGAAGGAGTGGGAGAACAAGATTTTCCACCATCTCTGCTGCACTGGACAAGGGCTACCTTAAAAGCAGAATATGAGAGAATGTATACAGACTGTGGTGTAGTGGTGGTTTTTGGTACTGCCCGAAGGCAGAAAGAAAACTCTCTTATCTTCCCATGGTGTGCTGCTAAGAAACCTTTCCACAAAACTTCTCCCCACCCCTTGCTAAACAGTTGTCTTCTACAGAACATGGTTGTTCACGGCAAGATTAATGCTATCTGCAAGGTGTTTGGGGAAACACACTTCAAGAGCTAGCTGCAGCCTACCTGCTCTCCTGGCTAAAGAGAGGGCATCAATCTTCAGGGCTGCCAATCCAGCGTCCTTCAGCAGTGCTAATTTTCCCTTAGAAAACAGCCCAAGAGCAATTGCTCACTGGGCAGTTACGAGCTGTTAATTCTCCTGGCTCTGATGGCTTTAGCATACTTTGCTAATTTCAGAAAGCGGTTTCCGTGCTGCTCTCTGTGAAATAATCCTCTTTATATGGTTCAGGAAAAGGTAGCGAAAGACACAAACTTTCTCTGGGGCCCGCTGTTTGCTGCTTTGGTCAATCTTATAATTATCCCACAGTGGCTAAAATGAGAAAACTACACACCTAAACAAACATACATGGACATATATATGTGTGTGTGTGCGCGCGCACATGGACGTGGGTGTTTATTTAGGTGTGTGCGTCTGTGTATATAGCTATCTATAGATATAGGCCTATTTTTAGAGATAGCAACGCAGATATATATATAGTCGCAGACAGACATTTTTTTCCCCAATGCTTTCTAATGCATAGTTTCTTAAAAGTTCCTCTGGTTACATCTGCTCGGGTGCTGTCCTACTTGGAATCAGCCCATGATCTCCTTTTAAAATGTTGGTTAAATGCAGCTGTTACTGGTGACGCAAAGATGCTGTTCCCCAGGGGGGGAAATAATAATAGAAAACAATCTTGCTATAAAGGCGACTAGTCTATCTTGCCAAATTCCCTGATCCTGACATCTCTTGACATATTTACTTCAAGGAAAAAAAAAAAAAAATCAAAGGAAGGTTTATTAATACCAGTGGTTCTGAGCCACGGTTGGGTGTGAAAGACAAGAGGCCTTCCTTGCTCTCTGAAAGTCATCACCCAACTGAGAAAAAAAAAGGACATTCCTTTTCTCTTTTATTTCCAGAGTGCTTTTTGTACCAGAAGGCCCAAGAGACCCACGGTGGATGTATATGCATTGATTCACTTGTCACTAAAACGCAGCCACCCCTATGGTGAAACGAGGCAACGACCTGAGAGCGTGCAGCATCGCTGTGAGGTGAGTGCAGGGTTGGACTGAGGAAAACAACCTCTTGCAAATATGAGGTTAATAAAACCAATAATAATAATGAATAGATGCTGTTGAAAAGCATTTGTTAATCAAACTACAATTCCAAAGCTGGGGGAAACCTCCATTGTTTCTAATGTTCTTTGCACTGGGCAGGCATCACTTAGCAAGACCATGTGGTCCATTTAATCTGAACAATGATGATGGTCTAATTTGTCCTACAGTTAAATATCATTAAATTCACCCCTGTGTAGCTAGACTAGAAAACTCATGGCAAAAGATGACTGAGCCTTGTGTACAGAATAATGAGGATGATGATATTGGGACGGTTATTAAAACAGCTCATAAAGGGAAAGGTCATGAGGAGCAGTAATTTTCCAAGTAAGAACAGACATTGAGAATAAAAATGAAGTCTTCTGCATTGTGGTACCTCATCTAATGTCTCTCCATTAGGAAGAACAGTCCACGTCCCCTGTCTGTGCAGTGACCTCCTCAACACTCAGGAGACACTGACAAAGATAGATACATGAAACCCAGGGCAACAGACTTTGTCTTCAGTCTTTTTTACCAGCCATGGGTGGAAGGTCCCTACTCCTTCCTTGTGCTGATAACAAATGGACAACTCTCTTCTTCTTCATACCCTTCCCCTACAAATTTACCTGGACCAAGTCCTAGCTGCCAACATGGGAGGTTTAACAGAAAGGACCTCCTTTCCCTAGGGGAAATCCAGGAGACTTATTTAAATGGAGAGGTCTGCAGCAGATGACTCCCACCTCGGGACATGGCTGAGAGAGGTGGGAGAGGGGAGATAATGACTTCAGAGAGGTCAAGAAGTTTTACAGCTTAGTAAAGCTCTCAGTGTGAGCAAGATGTTCAATGACTCCAACACCTACTCCAGAAACTTCCCAGAAACCTCTGGGGCTAAAATAGTTCTTTCCATTGTATGGACTGGGAAAAGATGAGTCCCACCAAACTTGTTCTAAAACTGAAGGTTGTCCAGCACTGAAACAACACACTTCTCTATCAAGTAGCTGGAGCAGTACCTGGTGTATACAACCTTGCGGGTTCCTTGACTGCGTGATATAATGCATGTAGATGATCAAATAACATCTTTCCTCACTAAACAACTTCACTCATATGTTGCTTCTCCGTTAAGAGAAAAAAATACAAAAAAAACCCCTATGCTGTCGTTGGATTTAAAATTAAGAACCTTCTCCCCAAGGGACTGTATATCATCTTCAAGCCTGCTCCCTACCGTGAAGCTTGTGGTTAGATGTTTATCTCCAACTGTCTGAAAATAACCTGTGCTGCAAATGATCAGTCCCTAATGCCATACCCCTTATCCAAGGAGGACATCTTCCAAGTACCGCTGAGAAACCAGAGGTTCCTGCTAAATTCTTTGCAAATTACAGAAATAGAGAAGCAACCGCGTGTGGGTGGAAATGTCTTTCTCTGCGAAACAAGAAGGCCACATCCTCTCAGGTGACTCCACTGCCAGCTTTGCTGTCACGTTAACACAGAATTGCTTCTGTGATGCACTCAGCTTGGGAGACATTCAGAAGCTCTACAGAGCCCCAGTTGGGCTCAGACCCAGACAGAGAAGTAGGAAAATTCTGCCAGCCACTATCCTGCCAATCACCTGAATTTTTATAAAAATAAGGCCCATAGATCTGACAGACACCTTTTTTTCCCCCTTTTCCCAGGAGCATAACAAACCCTCTCCATGTGCTATGAATCCCTTTTCTAACTTCAGACTGGTGTCCCAGTTTCAAAATTATGACTACACCAGGATTAGTTCAAGATCTGTTCTTAGACGTTAATTTGCTTTAGCAAAGGACTTTGTACCCATCCACCTCCAATGAACAGACCACATAAAACCTCTGATCCTTGATTTATACCTCTCAACCAAGAGTTTCTCTGTTATTCACCTACTGAAGCATGGTTGCTACCGCTTTGATTGACACATCTTTTAGCTCTGTGTTTGTACATGCACTAGCACAGACAGTCATGTAAGCACTGGAATTATTGGCAACAACCTGGCAGCAAAATTATTTTCTGGTGGGGAAGGGGGAGTCTCAATGGTGTGGAAGAACCTTTAAGTTTCCCCAAGATCTCTTTACAAGTGGGATCATGGCAGCTGGAGGAACCTTTCTTGGCTTTGAGGACAATTTCAAATTCAAATAATTCTCCATCAAAAAAAAAAAAAAAAAAGATGTGGCTTTGGCAAGCTCAGACAGAGTTTCCAAGAGGAGGCAGCAAACTAGAGCTCATCAAGGGTTTTAAACAAGTCAGTGCTCCTTATATTAGCCAACAGTTCATGCTCCATGCACAAATGCAATTGCCTACCCTTTCCCTCGTCTCGTTGGTAAGGAACTTGGCACATTCACTGTAGTTTGCCCAGGTGCGGTTGTTGCCTGGGACCAACTCCCAGCTGCCATTCAGGTCACACCGGCGATAAGCATGTCCTGTGGGAGACAAACGAGAGACAGAGTAAATGGGACTACACCTGGTAGAACAGGAGGAGAAGCTTCTTTCAAGGGTGGATCCTATCAACCTTGGTGCCTCCTGCCTGCTTTGAAACTCATCTGCAAGAACACAATTTCCATCTCCTTAGCAACTTTCCAGCTGAGAAACACCAGAGAGCTAACAGCAAATTGCATTTAGTTTAGGTTAAACTGGGGTCTAGAAACCAAGAGAGAAGCTTTGAAAAGTCCCAAAGCACAGAATCGTCCTCAGAGTTGCAGCGCTCCCTATGAAAATAAACAGTGGTCTATATTACCCTGCTCTTTGTTTACAGACTCAGGGCATCTCAAGATAGATTTTTCTATGGCTACCCTCCTCATGACGATGGAGAAAGAAGAGAAGGCAAGGTTTCGCCTTAGGATTCGGCTGGCAGATGAAAACATCCATGTTCAGATGTCTGTGTGAGAGTATCATTGCATGAGCTGCGTGTAAGAAGTCCCATTACAGTTAACAGGGATGAAATCAGTCAACAGATCTATCTGTGCTGTGACTACAGAGGGAGAGCTTATAGAGACCTCTGCATCTAAGGGTCTTAAATCTGACTCCCACCCTGGCTGACTTCACCGGTGGGTTTCTGTGAGGTGGGGAATCCGTGCCATGTTGGGTTATGGAGAAAAAAAGGGATGGATTGCCTGTTCCTTCTGGCCTCTAGTGTGAAGTGCATGTGCAGGGGTCTCCACGAAAGGTCATCAGCCAGGGGTGAAGCTGGCTCAGCCCGCAGTCCCTTATAGAAAAGGCAGGACAGACTACGTGCAAGCAGGGTGCACAGGAATATCATTACTTGTTCTCTGAAAAGAGCATCAGTGCTCTGCTGGGAACATATACTCTTAATTCTCTAATTTTTCGGTCTTTGGGCGTACTGCTTTGCCTGGGAAAAGAGAATGCTTTAGATTTGAAAACACACTGAGGAGCGAGTGTACTTCAATTGCTTCTAAAAACATGCACAGACTTTGCGGCACCACAAGCAAGCCAAGAAATGTGCTGCCTGAGGGAAAGCGAGATAGGGAGGAATTCACATATTCTGGTTACCAGCGCTGTTCTCAGATACCCACCGTAGGGGTCTGGGCAGAGATCAGGGGCTAGAATTAACAAACCTGTCAAGCGAAGAATACAAATTGGAAGAAATATCTTGCGGGTTCCTATTGCTATGCAAAGTTTGCGGCATCAAACAAATGCAGGTTTGTAACGTTGCAAGACTACCCAGCTGTAAGCATGAAATCGGTGGTTATAATACTCCATTACAGTCTGGGTCGGGCAGGTGGGAAATTTGTCATTATTTCGGTTAAAACAGAGCTTTTTTTTTTTCCAGCATAAAAACGTAATGGCTATTTCTTAACTTCCTTTCCCCTGGCGTTACCCCTGCTTGGAAGGGAGTCTCCATGTGATAAAAAAAAGGGATGCTAAGGAGGATTTCTAATTTTCTGACTGCCAGGCCTCCCCTTGCTGCAGCTTGCCAGGCTGTGCTGACATTGAGGACAACACCTACCTTTGTGATTGAAGTCATAGATGTACTCGGGACATGGCATGGCCACCACTTTGCCTGGCACTCCTTCAGGCCAGCAGACAATACCATCCAGGAATACAAAAGCGATCTGTGGAAGAGACACAAGGGGAAAGATGAGTCACTGGACGTGCAGAGGTGACACTAATGCTCCACCATTTGGAGAGGGGCTCTCTGTGAAAAAAACACCACTACCATCACTCAATTTGAGAAAGCTGCTCTCAGGCGTCATTGCAATTTTCTTCTTAGTGTTTAGCCCCAGAAGGTGCAGCTTCTCCCAGGTTTTCTTTCAGGAGGAGGTGGTCTGACATGGGACAGGCTGAGAGAGCTGGGGTTGTTCAGCCTGGAGAAGAGGAGGCTCCAGGGAGACCATATTGTGGCCTTCCAGTACCTAAAGGGGCTACAGGAGAGCTGGGGAGGGACTTTTTACAAGGGCATGTGGTGATAGGACAAGGGGGAATGGCTTTAAACTGGAAGAAGGGAGATTTAGATGAGATGTTAGGAAGAAATTATTGACTGTCTGGGTGGTGAGCCCCTGGCGCAGGTTGCCCCGAGAAGCTGTGGCTGCCCCATCCCTGGAGGTGTTCAAGGCCAGGTTGGACGGGGCTTGGAGCAACCTGGGCTGGTGGGAGGTGTCCCTTCCCATGGCAGGGGGGTTGGAACTAGGTGATCTTCAAGGTCTCTTCCAACCTAACCCATTCTATGATTCTATGATAATAGCTGAGTACTCTCTGCAAGGGGTCAATGAACCCAGAAAGTTGCTTTCCCTCGTGGGCTTGGAAGAAAGGCAAATGGGGCAGGAGAGCAGAGTGGAGAACAGGAGAACTTGAGCATTCAGAACTCTGTGGACTGATGGGCAACCTGGAGATGCCCAAGGGAGCTTGGCTGGGTATAGCCTTGATATGGCAGCACAGATTTAAGCCTAGGCTGCCAAGGAGCTAGATTATGCTGCAGCTACCTTATTGCGAGGCTCAAAGCTACCAGTTCAGGCTTCCCTGAAAAGTACTTATGCACACAGAGCAGACTGGCTGTGGTTTAATGTCCACAGGCCGTTAACCTAAATTCAGCTGTAATTTTAACTCATTATTTATGTCAGCGAGTGCTACGCTATGTCGCGATGCTTCGCTGCTTTCTCAGATGTGCCTGTGTGCCTGAATTTGGGTACGCTTTTAAGTAACTCTAAGACTAGCAAGAATCTATAGAGAGGTGTCTGCGTTAATATTTCTAACTGTAAATAAAGAATATTTCATTACCTTGCTTCATAAGGGGGGAAATGATGGAATTTCTGTTTCCTAAAGATTTGCATCCTTTCGCCTATGGTTTGACATCCATTTCGCCTATGACTTCACCAGCGCCAGCTTCCCTCTCCCCCTGTTTCCCTGTGATGTCACCATGGGGCAAGATGCAGGTCATGCACTGATTGATTTGGAGCCGTGCCCATGCTAATTGGCTGCCGGCGCACACACACTGATTGACCGGTCACCTGCTGCCAAGCGCGACGTACAATGGTTGAGTTTTCCCAGCTTTCCCCCCTGCTTACTCACGATTTTGGATTTCTGCCCTTCGCTCAGTCACAGGTTTTCAGAAAAGCAGCAGAAAGAGAATGGGCAGGTGGAGAAATCACACAAGCCCCATTGCCTTAGGAAGGCAAATATCCTGGGAACTGTTTATCTCTCTCTGTTGTACTACTTTTCAAGGCTTGATGCTACTTCCTAACCTTTTGAGAAGGGAGTGGTGGGGTGTTGTTACAGAATTTTTCTTTAAGTCACCCTTCTTCTGCCTTTTTGTTTGTTGAAGAACGGTAAAATAGCCCTGAAGGAGAAATCCTGCCTCCTGCCATACACAGGTCTCCCTCTTCCCTCTGTGTATGTTAGTTTATTTGCAGATAACTGTGATTTATGTGCTTAGAGCAAGGAAAAGCAGAGATGGAAACCGAGAAATAGTCCTTCCCCACACTTTATGTCTGCCTTTTTCCCCAAAACCTTCTTTTGAAAATTGGCAAGTATATAATTATATATTTAAAGTTCTTTAATTGTCATTTTGCAATTCTCCAGTACTTGAGAAGTGTTTAAGCACATCTTCAATGGACCCGTGATTATGAGAAGCTTCGTTTCTCATTTCACAAACGGAGGTACCAGCCAACCATTCAAGGCCTCCAGCATCATGTCCTACATGAGCATATAGGCTAAGAGGGTCATGAAAGAACTTTGCAGCCCATGGGATTTACCACCAGCAGCTGAGGTACCGGTGATGGTGGCAGACTGCCCTGGGAGATAGGCTGCCTGCCCTCCCGCCAGTCTCATCTTCCTCATCATTCAATCCGCAATGGACAAAGCCAGAGCTTACCCATATTTAGAAGGGCAAAGAAATCCTCCAGGCTTCTTGAAAGCTGTGGGAATTGACCCGATTTTCAACACTGCTTCAAAAAGAGGGAAGTCAGACCCCATCCCCCACCTCTTAGGTCCTTCCAACTTGTCAACCACCCATTTCTGCAGCTTTTGATCCATAAACTCCCACTCCAGAAGGGAGCAAGTTCACATTCAGGCATGGATGTTCAACGTGGGCTGCTTTTCCAGCCCCTGAGGAAGGACTATCCAGCCAAATCTAACTTGGTGCTTACATATGCCTTTGCGTTGGGCTGTATTTACTACACCCGTCGGTTAACACCCAGAGTATTTGAAGTCAAGAGCAAAAACCGGTGAATCTGCCCCAGCTCCGCTTTCAGAGCAGCATCTTCACTTTGTACCGATGGCAGCCCGTGAAGGAGTTTATCAACAGTGAATAAAGTGTCTGACAGAGAGGAATTACACGCGAATCAAAATAAAACGGAACAGCCGGCTCTTATCTGCAAAAGAGCTCCACTGCTAAAGAAATGATAAGCATGGCCAAGATCTCAGCGTGTTTCATTAATATCAAAGCCAGTGCCTCAGCAATCTTTCAACCAAACAGTAATTTATCCTTCATAATGATTGTGCTTTTGCAAGATTAAATAAGAATCCAGGATTGCTTTAAAGACCTTTGGCTGGTATGGTGCCCTCCAGGGTCAGAGCTGACAGTGATCAATTCAGTCTGATGGTATTTTAGGACATGAAAAACAACAGAAAAACTCATCACTTAAAAGCTGATTTCTTATCTTTAATTCAGTGCTGATGAAAAGGACCACACTAATCACTGCCTATCTTCTAAAGCATTAACTGGGAGTGAGAGTAGAGGAGCTAAAATTACTCAGCATTGGTGTGACAGAAAGAAGGAAGAAGTTTATTACATTTTCTCTATTTCCAGTCACATTAGAGGAAGAATAATACTAGATTTCCTATTCATGAAAACTGGGAAAGCCCTTCCTGTTGGCTCATTATGCTACAGGATTACTTACACTGGGAAAAACAGTTTATTTATTTTTCATTCTCTGGAAGGATCAAAAGAAAAAGTTAAAAAAAAAAAAGTGCCCCACAAAATTTGGATTAGGACAAAATGTTATTGTCTCTGAGGGTTTTTTTCAGGCAAGAAAGTAAATAAAGATTTTATTTAGCCCTCAAAGTGGTTTTACTTAAAATAAGACCAATTCTTTTTACAAAATAAATAAATTATTTAGGTAAACTTTAAAAAGAATGCTGTGGAGAAACAACATTGAGGAGAAAAAAAATTCAGCCGAATGTCATGCTCTGAAATGTTGAGAGGAAAACCTTCCATTTTTCTAAAATCTTCACAACGACTTGCAAAGGTCAGCCTCCACTTGTAAGTAGTTTCATTTAGTATCATACTGCAATATTTGTCCAGAAAATATTAATGTGGAAAAGTATCTGGTGGGTACGCCCTCCTCATGCTGTAAACATACACACACACACACACACATTTGCAATGGACTTATTCAAAAGAAAACCGATGCCTTCTGGATAACAGAGTGTGAAATTATTTCTTTTTGGGTATTTAGATCCCCACAATCCTCCCCAAAAGCAGAAGGTTGAAGGCTCTGTGCAGAAAACATGGTGCATACTGGGGTTAGGACACCTTTGGGCTGTTGCTTTATCCTGTGGACAATTTGGCGAGCCACCAGCTGCCCCAGAAATTGAAAAAAAAAGGATCATCTTTGCTGCTTCTCACTGCATCTGAAATCTTTCCATGCCTCTGTGTATTCACCTGTGGAATTGAATCATTAAAGCTGTAAAAGGATCTGGTGGTACTCTATCTTCAAAAAGTGGCTAGGATCTCCCAAGAGAAGACAAAAATGAATCTGTTGTCTTTATCATGAACTGCCACGACACAGAGAAACCTCTTTAGCCTCCTCTCCATCACTCCATCATCCCCTGCCTCTCTCTCCCTGCTCCATTCTTGGAAAACCCATTTCAGACAAATTTGAAGGAGGGGTAAGACATGTCAGTCATCATTTCCTTCCTACAAATTTCACAGAGATTAGTAGAGGGAAGGGCAGGTGGACCTTTGGCAGCTGCCACCTGGCCAACCAGCCTTTACTGACTGACCAGCCAACTGGCAAGTGCATAGCTTAAAATTAGGCACAGCATGGCTGTTTCTTGCCAATCCGAAGCACTATGAGCGCAAAGGGAGAAGAATTGGACTGGGGAGAGGCACTGCAGTTATTAGTCTGTGGCTGGGGTAAGCTGGGGGGTTGGAAATCCACAAGTCAAGCCAGGTGCCTCTGGACCTCTTGGTTGCAGAACGAATTGAGAAGTTCCTACATCAACTGAAGCTCTTGGAAAACATTTTTCAAATGGAAATATTGACTGATGTCAACACCAGCCACACTTTGTGACTGTTGGATCCACATTCCTGAGTTTTAATGCAGCCAAAAGCTGTTTCTCCCTTTTATGTCACTCCTCTTGTCCCAGACAGGAACCCCACCATCCTTCTCTCACTCCTATCTTTAATACCTCCATTCCTCCCATCTAAGGAGACAAACCATCGACCTGCTGATAGGACAATGGGTAATAGTTTTAAACTAAAAGAGGGGAGATTTAGACTAAATATGATGAAGAAATTTTTTACAATGAGGGTGGTGAGCCCCTGGCCCAGGTTGCCCAGCGAGGTGGTAGACGTCCCATCCCTGGAAACATTCCAGGCAAGGTTGGACAGGGC